ATTGGTAATTTTCCTTAATCTACGCTGCATCAATAATTGAATTTTGATGGTTCGTATAATAGCTAAATCTTATAAATTTGGATATCTTGTCAATCTTTATCGTTGATTTTCTTTAAACAAATTTGGAGTTTTCAAAAAAAATTAGAATCAACATAAAGAAAACAATTAGAAAAAAAAACTTGAAGAAGACACGTATTAAATGTGGGGAGTAAATCTCGTTTGATATATATGATTTCCCTATAAAAAAAGATTTGCGTAGCCGTTACTAACAAACCCTTTTGAGTCTCTTCTCTTTCTAGTACAAGTCGAATTTGGGGTTTTTGGGGATATTTTCTTCTCCTTTTGAATCTCCAGTTTAAGACAAATTATGTAGTTAGCAACTTGTCATTTTTCTTCTTCCAATCTTCTCGTTGGGTTGTGGTTGTTAACTAGGGTTTTGTCAGTTTTTTTTTTAGGAATAATGACAAAATCTAATCCATCGAATTCTGATCTCACTACTCCTACTTTTGTGATTGACTCTTCTCGAGGGTATGATCCATTTTGTGTGATCTATGGATCAAGAGAGTATAATTTTGAGGATGTTATATTGGATTTTTACGATCTTGATATCTTCTTATGATTTTTTGTTTTGTGGTTAAAAGATGCAAAAGAGTGAGTGGTCCTACCAGAAAGTCAACAAAAGGAGGATGGACTCCTGAAACGGTAATGCATGTTTTGTCTATATGAGTTTCACGTGGAATTTGTTGTGTGTCATTGAAATGATCTCATTTTCATTTTTTCTTTTTGATTTTTTTTGCAGGACAAACTTTTGATGAATGCTGTGTGTAAGTACAAGGGGAAGCACTGGAAAAAGATAGGTAATTGATGATTTCATCAATGTTGTTAAAAAATAACTCTTTTTGTTTTTCTAATTAAGTATTGTCTTTGATTTAGCTGATCGTGTTCCCGGGAGGAAAGACAAGAAGAGAGATGTTCAGTGTCAACACCGTTGGCAAAAAGTTCTTAATCCAAATCTCAACAAAGGACCTTGGAGCAAAGAGGTAAAACTTTTTGATTCATGTTGATTTTTTTTTTTCATAACCATGTGGTGATTTGGGCTTTTACCACCCGACTAATCCCTCGAGGGTGTTGATATTTGCAACTAATAAACGGTTGATGTCTCATAGCTCTTGCTTGCTATTCAGGAAGATGATCTCTTAAGTGAATTAGTTAAGGTTAATATCGAGAATGATAAGCCTAAATGGTCTAAAATTTCAAAGCAACTCCCTGGTCGCATTGGCAAACAATGCCGTGGAAGGTATTTTTACATTTTTGTTTGTGTTCACATTTTGTATATGAACTTGATTATCGGTCCACATTTTGCATGTGTAAAGCTTGGTTTTGTTTTGTTTTGAATTTTTGTTAGGTGGCACAACCATTTAAATCCGACTATAAAAAAAACTCCATGGAGTAGAGAAGAGGAATTGATCCTCGTCAACGCACAAATGGAACATGGCAATAAGTGGACCGAGATCGCCAAGCTCTTGCCTGGAAGGTATGTCCTAAACAAACTAAGACAAGTTCTTTCAAATGTGTTGATAAACTTTGGTGGTGGAAACTTTACAGGACGGAGAATAATATCAAGA